CCTCCCTCCCTCCCCTCCTTCTCTCCTCCTCTGTCACCATGTTCTCTCCCCCCTCCGCGGGGGCTGCTGAAGTGCGGGTAACGCTCCAGGGGACTCCTGCCGGCTGTACGTGTTCGACATGCCGTCGACGTGGACGCTGATGAACCTGCTGATGCTGGGCTGCTGCTGGGCCGCCATCTGGTTCGGCCTGAACCGCTACGAGGAGGCGACGCGCGTCCTGCTCGCCATGCAGGCCGAGGGCCTGGCCGCCTCGCAGCGCGTCGAGCGCTTCTTCTACTACGAGTACGGCGGCGTCCGCCTCGTGGCCTGCGTCGTCTTCATGATGTGGCTGCGAACCTTCCAGTACCACCGCGTCACTACCCAGGTGGGGGGAGGGCGATAACGAGGGATACTTCACTCAAAAATATCAGAGACTAATCAGAAAAACCCGGAGAAAGTCACAAAAAAATTGGAAAAAACAAAACTGGTGCATAGTGAAGTGCACCGCGGGGAAGGGGGTGGGGGGACCCCAGACACCATGTCAAACACCGACGGCTAGGGGCCAGCTTAGTGAGTGGTCCTGATCGCACAGGTGTTGGAGACCTTACAACGCTCGCGTTTCGACCTGGTGAGCTACTTCTTCATGTACGTGGTGCTGCACTGCGCCTTCGCCCAGGCCGGTTACTATCTTTTCGGCGACCAGGTGTGTAGGGTTAGGTTGACCTGCTCTGGTGCCTGTGAGGTGAGACTTTATCCCCCCCAAACGCCCTCTTTTCCCTCCTAGAGCTCGGCCTTCAAGACGTTCTCGGAGAGCTTGCTCGCCGTCCTCGCCATCGCGCTCGGCGAGATGGGCTCGGACGTGTTCATCCGCGCGCACTGGGTGGTGGGGCCGCTCTTCTTCATCCTGCTCATTTTCGTCATCATCTTCGTCTTCCACAACATGTTCTTCGTCATCCTGTCGTACAACTACGACTCGGTGCGCGAGGAGCGCAGCCAGCTGGACCGCGGCCTCAACTTCATGTCCTTCATGAAGAACGGCTTCCGCAACTTCTGCAAGATGCGCGGGCTGCGTCTGCCGCCCCACGACCCGCTCGTCGACATGGAGCGCCGGCTGATGCGCTGCGGCTTCAGCCCGGGCTCGCTGCAGGCCTTCCGGGCGTTCCTCAAGCCGCGCCAGCAGCAGCAGGAGGCCAAGGGCCGCGGCGTCGGCCTCGAGCTGCAGCCCAACATGGCGAGCCTGGCGGACCTGAACGCCGTCGAGGACGAGATCGCCCTGATGGAGCGGGAGCTGCTGCAGGCCAAGAGCGAGATCAGCAGCCTGGTCAGCTCGCTCTCGGGTGAGTTTTCTTCTTCGCCCGGAGCCAGCAGCTGTCCAACAACACCGGCGACCTCCGACCGAATGAAACGCCTTTTCGCCAGATTGTGCGGTGGGTTGGGTGGGGCGGGGTGTGTCCACAGCCCCGGGCGCCGAGCGTGACCGGCGCGCTCAGCTGCGAGGCCGCCGCGTCCCGTCCCGGAGCCGCCGGAGCCAATGAGAGCCGAGCGCCGTCGCCCCGGGCCGCGATGTGTCGGATGGATTGCCGTACAAAAGTCGGGTGTGGGCTTGGAGAGCGGCGGGAGGTTGGGGTCGCGCTGCTGGGAGAAAAGGGGAAACGAAAACAAGCACGGGCCAGGGGGGCCAGCGCGGAAACCTTTGCCGAATTTTAAGCGTGTGGGCTGCTTTTCGGCTCCTTTCAAGGTCACTGTCCCATTCCCGACCGAACCACCGGGCTTACACGTCGTGACGTCGACAAAGTGACGTACTTGTTTCTCGCCCTGTGAATTCTCTCGTCACGATAACCTCAACCTCTCGCTCCAACCATTTTTGACGACCCCGCATCTTGACTAAAATTCGAGATATGCGCGGCCCGGGCCAGAGCACGGGTCGACGCGTCACCTTACTCCGCACCCGTTCAAAGGCTGGGGCCGACCTCGGCCGTGCCATCGGACGCCTTTGACGGGCGGCGTTTACCCTTTCGAGTTCGTTGCCCACCGCACTGACCTGACAACGCCCCTCTTAGCTCGTCAGCAGAATCGTGCCGCGCATGTGTTATCAACATCGTTTGTACTGCGGGTGATTTTATTGTTGTGGCCTGTAGATGTTGTTGAGATACCTACTTTAATCCCTTTAACTCATCATGTCTTTCTCGTGTGTTTCAGGTGACTTTGCCGGCATGGAGAGCTGAGCTGCTAAGCGGCTCTTTCTCTCTCTCTCTATGCCTCTCTCCGCGGCTGCCGCTGTCAGTACACGGCTTGGATAAGTAAACGCCCCCGCCCCTCTCGCTCTCTTCGCCCCCCAAACCCCCTCCGCGCGACAAAGACAATTTGTGCCAATTTGTGCGTGACCTTATGGAGTGCTCGGGGCCCGCAATGCTTGTCTTTCTCCTCTCTGCGCCCGGCCGCCCGCGCCCTAAGCCCCTCGGCGAGCCGTCCGGCTTAGCTAAGCAGCCCCCGCTGGAATGAAGTGGATTCCAGGCGCCCCCCTCCCCCTCCCC